AGAGAGTAACATACACCAAAAAAAGGAAGAGAAATATATGGACGATAGATGTTTGATAGGAAAAAAGGAGCAAACCAAACCAAACAAAACAAACAATAATAAATTATACAGACAAGAACAAAGAAAAAAAACAGTTTCATTTCAAAACTCTCTCATGTTTATTATTAACACTGTGCATCTCAACACCGGCATCTCCTCTACTGGTACAGACAGACAGACAGACAGACAGACAGACAGACAGACAGACAGACAGACACAAACCAAATAATAATTGATTCCGAAAAATCTGTCAAAATATCATGTCTGAAGAAATCAAACAGAAATCAAAGAAGAAAAGGGAAAAAAAACCCACAGCAAGAAACAAACAAACAAACACATACAAACTAAACGAACACGAGCCCAATTAATAGAAAAACAGTCCTTGGTGACATTCTTAATTCTGCAGCGAGGGGTGAACTTTCAACTCTCAGGAGAAAGACAAAGACTGCAGGAGGGGCGACATTTTAAGTTAGGGACATTGTTGTTGAGGCGACATTGTTAGGGACATTGAGATAGAGGTGACATTATTAGGGAAATTGCTGTATGGATGATATTTATAAGGGACTTTGTTATAATAGAAGTGACATTGTTAGGGACATTTTTGTTGGGGTGACATTTTGTAGTTGTGATACTGTTGTGGTGCTGACATTTTGAAGTGGTGTCATTGTGTAGTAATGACATTGTCAGGGACATTGTCGTTCGATGACATTTTGTAGTGGTGACATTTTGTGGTGATGACATTCTTAGTGGTAACATTTTGTAGTGATGTCATTGTGTAGTAAAGACATTGTCAGGGACATTGTTGTAAAGGTGACGTTTTGTAGAGAGGTGACATTGTACTGTTAGGGACATTGTTGTAGAGATGACATTATTAGGGAAATAAATTGTTGTAGAGGTGACACTGTTAGGGCCATTGTTCTAAAGGTGACATTTTGTAGAGAGGTGATATTGTACAGTAAGGGACATTGTTGGAAAAGTTCAGCAAGTCCCAAATAAACAGACACATAACATGATGGTGAAAGACCATGGAGGGAAAGGGTGTTTGTAAAAATACAGAATCTTCTGACTTTCTTATGCGATATTGAAAGGATACCCCCTCAACATTCATTCGAAACAAAAAAAGTAGCCTTAAACAAATGGTCTAAGTCAAGTATGGGGTCACTCAAAAAACAATATCTTCTCCTTCCCCCACCCTCCATATAAAAAATAAATTTAAAAATCCCCCC